TACAAAAGTTTTCTCCCTTACACTACACTATATACATGTGGCAGTCACATATATTTGTGTAACTGTCAACCGAACAATAAACTATACAGTGTATATAGTATTTGTTATAAGTTATAAGTTATAAGTTATAAGTATTAGTATTAGTATTAGTATAAGCATTTTGTTATTCATTAAATGATTGATCTTGCGTGCGTGCGTGCGTGTAAATGTATTAATTATGATAATGATTCGATTATACAACATAAACATGGAATGTAGCTGCAGTTTGTTTTCATCATATTTGCAAGCATTCTTTGTGTTATTTGGTGGTCCTGAAAAGGACCGTTGATGAAGAAGCGTGGGTTGGAAATTTACTTTCCAGCAGACTTCTGGGTTTTCTTGGGGAGAAGGACAGCCTGATGTTGGGGAGGACACCACCCTGGGCGATGGTGACTCCGACAGAAGTTTGTTCAACTCCTCGTCGTTCCTGATGGCCAGCTGCAGATGTCTGGGGATGATTCTGGTCTTCTTGTTGTCTCTGGCGGCGTTACCTGCCAACTCAAGAACCTCAGCGGCGAGGTATTCCAAAACGGCAGCCAGGTAGACTGGGGCTCTGGCACCCACGCGCTCGGCATAGTTGCCTTTACGGAGGAGACGATGGATACGTCCAACGGGGAACTGAAGTCCGGCCCGGGAGGATCGGGACTTGATTTGCCCTTGACTTTTCCGCCTTTACCACGTCCTGACATATTGGTAGTTTTATCGAGATGCAACAACACACGAGTAACGGAAAACACAGTCACTCAGTCTATTTAAGCGGACCCATACAAAGCAACTGGCCGCCGACTGGATCGAAACGGGCATTTTGCCGCGAAGGTTGTCTTCCGACGTCCGCGCGCTCAAAACCCCGATCCGATCCCATCCCTCGCTGCATAAAAAGAATGCCGCGAGTTTTTTCTCCACAGTCTCGCACTGCTTGAATATCAACATGCCACCAAAGGTTAGTTCTAAGGGAGCCAAGAAAGCCGGTAAGGCAAAGGCCGCACGTGTCGGCGACAAGAAGAAGAAGAGGAGGAGGAAGGAAAGTTACAGCATCTACATCTACAAGGTGTTGAAACAGGTGCACCCCGACACTGGTATCAGCAGCAAAGCTATGTCCATCATGAACAGCTTTGTCAACGATATCTTCGAGAGAATCGCCGCTGAGGCATCCCGTCTCGCCCATTACAACAAGCGATCCACCATCACCTCTCGGGAGATCCAGACCGCTGTCCGTCTCCTCCTCCCCGGTGAATTGGCTAAGCACGCCGTCTCTGAGGGTACCAAGGCCGTCACCAAGTACACCAGCTCTAAGTAGACAGTTCACCTACGGACTTCTATTTTCATTATCCAACGGTCCTTTTCAGGACCACCAACTCTCACAAAAGAACACTTGAAACACGATGAAAACAAGTAATTACACTAAGCAAAACAGAACAAAACAAGTAAAGACACAAATAGGAGAGAGAAAAAACCGACACCTATTAGCGTAAGCCCATTGTAATGATTAGTATCTGCACACATTCCTTACACACAATAATGTTATATTTACCCATTTTTGTGACATACACAACTCGTGCAGGAGTGTCGGGGAGGGGGTGGGGTAGGGTAGGGTAGGGCATCCTCATGATCATCATACATGACTGAAATTAATAACCTACTAAACGTAAATAATTGACTTTTATTTTGCCATTTGCAGAAATATACCAGTGGTCTGTGATAAGTCAGTCAGTCAGTCAGTCAGTCAGTCAAGTCAGATCAATCAAGCAAAACGACCAGTCAAATAAGCAATGTTTACTGAAGATTTCGTTTGATTTGATTTGATTTGATTTGATTTGATTTGATTTGATTTGAGATTTGATTTGATTTGATTTGATTTGAGATTTGATTTGATCGTGCGTGCGTGCATGCGTGCGTGCGTAGAATGCAAATAAAATAGTGACGATGAGTTTTTCATAATATCAAGTTATCAAGCATTCTTTTGGTATTTGGTGGTCCTGAAAAGGACCGTTGAGAGTGTTGGTGAAAACACAAGGTTTTCAACCGCCGAATCCGTAGAGGGTACGTCCCTGTCGTTTCAGGGCATAGACGACATCCATGGCAGTGACAGTCTTCCTCTTGGCGTGCTCGGTGTAGGTGACGGCATCACGGATGACATTCTCAAGGAAAACTTTGAGGACACCACGGGTCTCTTCGTAAATCAGACCTGAGATACGCTTGACACCACCTCTTCTTGCTAGACGACGGATGGCTGGCTTGGTGATACCCTGATGTTATCACGCAAAACCTTCCTGTGACGCTTGGCGCCCCTTCCAAGACCTTTACCTCCTTTACCACGGCCTGACATGTTTACTCTGAGAGATTTCCAGACAGAATGCCCTCGGAAGGAGCGAGTTTCAGTTTATATAGGAACGCGCGGACCTCTGAGAAGACAACCAAGCATAAATACAGTTGATTTTACGTTAAAACTAGCATAAGAAAGGCAGAAACACGTTTTTCACATAGCAGCTACCAATTAACACTAGTGTTTTTCTTACGTGTGACGTTCATTACGTTTTATTGTCTCCTTTTTCAGTTATTACAAGTAATTGCCCCAGCCGATGCCAAGAGTTTATACATTAACATCACATCTGTGAAGACTCGCTCACTGAACCAAGTCAAGTGCGAACGACAACGAACGCGAAGGCAACCAATCAGGATAGCCGTTTATCGACCAATCAACGGCTTCCCGCGCAAGTCCGAGTCCCGTCAAGAGCGAGCATGAACCCCGTTTGATTCAGTTTCACTTGTGAATCGAGATGGCACGTACTAAGCAGACAGCGCGTAAATCCACCGGAGGAAAAGCTCCCCGAAAACAGCTAGCCACCAAGGCTGCTCGTAAGAGCGCCCCGGCCACCGGAGGTGTAAAGAAACCCCACAGATACAGGCCTGAACAGTCGCACTTCGTGAGATCCGTCGTTACCAGAAAAGCACCGAGCTTTTGATCAGGAAGCTGCCATTCCAGCGTCTTGTCCGTGAAATCGCTCAAGACTTCAAGACTGATCTCCGATTCCAGTCCTCGGCCGTCATGGCCCTTCAGGAGGCTTCCGAGGCTTACCTTGTGGGTCTGTTTGAGGACACCAACTTGTGCGCCATCCACGCCAAGCGTGTCACCATCATGCCCAAGGACATCCAGCTTGCCCGCCGTATCCGTGGGGAGAGAGCTTAGACAGCAGTCCGCTCATATCTATCATAACGGTCCTTTTCAGGACCACCAAATACACCAAAAGAATGCTTGATTACACGATACTGAAAACACTCGGAAAACGAATAAAATGATCACCCAATGATGTTAATTTATGCCTATGCATATCATTCAGTACGGGTAGAATTTCGGTTTTTATATACAGAAACGAATTACACACACTCATGAATGTTTTAGCTCCCATACACATTGCACACAAAGCAAAATATCGGTTAATGGAAACGCATTGCAACCCTAACCTAAATTATATTTATCATGACACACCTATATGCTATTTCAGACCCCCAAAGTGTCAGGCGGGTACGCCCCAAAGTGCCAGGCGGGTACGCCCGAAAATGCCAGTCGGGTACGACCGAAATTGCCAGTCGGGCCAGTCGGGTACGACCGAAAATGCCAGTCGGGCCAGTCGGGTACGACCGAAAATGCCAGTCGGGCCAGTCGGGCCAGTCGGGCCCGAAAGTGCCAGGCGGGTCCGCCCGAAAGTGTTTCTGTGGATAGGGATATAATTTTTTCACGATATCAAGTCACAGCTGTAGTATGCACCTGTCCAGAGCGTATTATATCCGTACTGAGACATGCTACACGCACTAATGAAATAACCCCTAACCCTAGCTAACCCTAACCCTAACCCTAACCCTAGCTAACCCTAACCCTAACCCTAGCACTAGCCCTAACCCTAGTAAATGTGAACGTATCCTAATACTACGTCATGTAGACTATTTGTGTTCCTTATTTATGCATGTTATGTACTACAAAGGCACATACATGATTTATGTTGAACAGCGACCTGACGTATACTGGATCGCCGCTCAAACCTACAAAAGTTTTCTCCCTTACACTACACTATATACATGTGGCAGTCACATATATTTGTGTAACTGTCAACCGAACAATAAACTATACAGTGTATATAGTATTTGTTATAAGTTATAAGTTATAAGTTATAAGTATTAGTATTAGTATTAGTATAAGCATTTTGTTATTCATTAAATGATTGATCTTGCGTGCGTGCGTGCGTGTAAATGTATTAATTATGATAATGATTCGATTATACAACATAAACATGGAATGTAGCTGCAGTTTGTTTTCATCATATTTGCAAGCATTCTTTGTGTTATTTGGTGGTCCTGAAAAGGACCGTTGATGAAGAAGCGTGGGTTGGAAATTTACTTTCCAGCAGACTTCTGGGTTTCTTGGGGAGAAGGACAGCCTGATGTTGGGGAGGACACCACCCTGGGCGATGGTGACTCCGGACAGAAGTTTGTTCAACTCCTCGTCGTTCCTGATGGCCAGCTGCAGATGTCTGGGGATGATTCTGGTCTTCTTGTTGTCTCTGGCGGCGTTACCTGCCAACTCAAGAACCTCAGCGGCGAGGTATTCCAAAACGGCAGCCAGGTAGACTGGGGCTCCGGCACCCACGCGCTCGGCATAGTTGCCTTTACGGAGGAGACGATGGATACGTCCAACGGGGAACTGAAGTCCGGCCCGGGAGGATCGGGACTTGATTTGCCCTTGACTTTTCCGCCTTTACCACGTCCTGACATATTGGTAGTTTTATCGAGATGCAACAACACACGAGTAACGGAAAACACAGTCACTCAGTCTATTTAAGCGGACCCATACAAAGCAACTGGCCGCCGACCGGATCGAAACGGGCATTTTGCCGCGAAGGTTGTCTTCTCCGACGTCCGCGCGCTCAAAACCCCGATCCGATCCCATCCCTCGCTGCATAAAAAGAATGCCGCGAGTTTTTTTCTCCACAGTCTCGCACTGCTTGAATATCAACATGCCACCAAAGGTTAGTTCTAAGGGAGCCAAGAAAGCCGGCAAGGCAAAGGCCGCACGTGTCGGCGACAAGAAGAAGAAGAGGAGGAGGAAGGAAAGTTACAGCATCTACATCTACAAGGTGTTGAAACAGGTGCACCCCGACACTGGTATCAGCAGCAAAGCTATGTCCATCATGAACAGCTTTGTCAACGATATCTTCGAGAGAATCGCCGCTGAGGCATCCCGTCTCGCCCATTACAACAAGCGATCCACCATCACCTCTCGGGAGATCCAGACCGCTGTCCGTCTCCTCCTCCCCGGTGAATTGGCTAAGCACGCCGTCTCTGAGGGTACCAAGGCCGTCACCAAGTACACCAGCTCTAAGTAGACAGTTCACCTACGGACTTCTACTTACTATCCAACGGTCCTTTTCAGGACCACCAACTCTCACAAAAGAACACTTGAAACACGATGAAAACAAGTAATTACACTAAGCAAAACAGAACAAAACAAGTAAAGACACAAATAGGAGAGAGAAAAACCGACACCTATTAGCGTAAGCCCATTGTAATGATTAGTATCTGCACACATTCCTTACACACAATAATGTTATATTTACCCATTTTGTGACATACACAACTCGTGCAGGAGTGTCGGGGAGGGTGTGGGGTAGGGTAGGGTAGGGCATCCTCATGATCATCATACATGACTGAAATTAATAACCTACTAAACGTAAATAATTGACTTTTATTTTTGCTATTTGCAGAAATATACCAGTGGTCTGTGATAAGTCAGTCAGTCAGTCAGTCAGTCAGTCAGTCAGTCAGTCAAGTCAGATCAATCAAGCAAACGACCAGTCAAATAAGCAATGTTTACTGAAGATTTCGTTTGATTTGATTTGATTTGATTTTGATTTGATTTGATTTGATTTGATTTGAGATTTGATTTGATTTGATTTGATTTGAGATTTGATTTGATCGTGCGTGCGTGCATGCGTGCGTGCGTAGAATGCAAATAAAATAGTGACGATGAGTTTTTCATAATATCAAGTTATCAAGCATTCTTTTGGGTATTTGGTGGTCCTGAAAAGGACCGTTGAGAGTGTTGGTGAAAACACAAGGTTTTCAACCGCCGAATCCGTAGAGGGTACGTCCCTGTCGTTTCAGGGCATAGACGACATCCATGGCAGTGACAGTCTTCCTCTTGGCGTGCTCGGTGTAGGTGACGGCATCACGGATGACATTCTCAAGGAAAACTTTGAGGACACCACGGGTCTCTTCGTAAATCAGACCTGAGATACGCTTGACACCACCTCTTCTTGCTAGACGACGGATGGCTGGCTTGGTGATACCCTGGATGTTATCACGCAAAACCTTCCTGTGACGCTTGGCGCCCCTTCCAAGACCTTTACCTCCTTTACCACGGCCTGACATGTTTACTCTGAGAGATTTCCAGACAGAATGCCCTCGGAAGGAGCGAGTTTCAGTTTATATAGGAACGCGCGGACCTCTGAGAAGACAACCAAGCATAAATACAGTTGATTTTACGTTAAAACTAGCATAAGAAAGGCAGAAACACGTTTTTCACATAGCAGCTACCAATTAACACTAGTGTTTTTCTTACGTGTGACGTTCATTACGTTTTATTGTCTCCTTTTCAGTTATTACAAGTAATTGCCCCAGCCGATGCCAAGAGTTTATACATTAACATCACATCTGTGAAGACTCGCTCACTGAACCAAGTCAAGTGCGAACGACAACGAACGCGAAGGCAACCAATCAGGATAGCCGTTTATCGACCAATCAACGGCTTCCCCGCGCAAGTCCGAGTCCCGTCAAGAGCGAGCATGAACCCCGTTTGATTCAGTTTCACTTGTGAATCGAGATGGCACGTACTAAGCAGACAGCGCGTAAATCCACCGGAGGAAAAGCTCCCCGAAAACAGCTAGCCACCAAGGCTGCTCGTAAGAGCGCCCTGGCCACCGGAGGTGTAAAGAAACCCCACAGATACAGGCCCGGAACAGTCGCACTTCGTGAGATCCGTCGTTACCAGAAAAGCACCGAGCTTTTGATCAGGAAGCTGCCATTCCAGCGTCTTGTCCGTGAAATCGCTCAAGACTTCAAGACTGATCTCCGATTCCAGTCCTCGGCCGTCATGGCCCTTCAGGAGGCTTCCGAGGCTTACCTTGTGGGTCTGTTTGAGGACACCAACTTGTGCGCCATCCACGCCAAGCGTGTCACCATCATGCCCAAGGACATCCAGCTTGCCCGCCGTATCCGTGGGGAGAGAGCTTAGACAGCAGTCCGCTCATATCTATCATAACGGTCCTTTTCAGGACCACCAAATACACCAAAAGAATGCTTGATTACACGATACTGAAAACACTCGGAAAACGAATAAAATGATCACCCAATGATGTTAATTTATGCCTATGCATATCATTCAGTACGGGTAGAATTTCGGTTTTTATATACAGAAACGAATTACACACACTCATGAATGTTTTAGCTCCCATACACATTGCACAATAAAGCAAAATATCGGTTAATGGAAACGCATTGCAACCCTAACCTAAATTATATTTATCATGACACACCTATATGCTATTTCAGACCCCCAAAGTGTCAGGCGGGTACGCCCCAAAGTGCCAGGCGGGTACGCCCGAAAAATGCCAGTCGGGTACGACCGAAATTGCCAGTCGGGCCAGTCGGGTACGACCGAAAATGCCAGTCGGGCCAGTCGGGTACGACCGAAAATGCCAGTCGGGCCAGTCGGGCCAGTCGGGCCCGAAAGTGCCAGGCGGGTCCGCCCGAAAGTGTTTCTGTGGATAGGGATATAATTTTTTCACGATATCAAGTCACAGCTGTAGTATGCACCTGTCCAGAGCGTATTATATCCGTACTGAGACATGCTACACGCACTAATGAAATAACCCCTAACCCTAGCTAACCCTAACCCTAACCCTAACCCTAGCTAACCCTAACCCTAACCCTAGCACTAGCCCTAACCCTAGTAAATGTGAACGTATCCTAATACTACGTCATGTAGACTATTTGTGTTCCTTATTTATGCATGTTATGTACTACAAAGGCACATACATGATTTATGTTGAACAGCGACCTGACGTATACTGGATCGCCGCTCAAACCTACAAAGTTTTCTCCCTTACACTACACTATATACATGTGGCAGTCACATATATTTGTGTAACTGTCAACCGAACAATAAACTATACAGTGTATATAGTATTTGTTATAAGTTATAAGTTATAAGTTATAAGTATTAGTATTAGTATTAGTATAAGCATTTTGTTATTCATTAAATGATTGATCTTGCGTGCGTGCGTGCGTGTAAATGTATTAATTATGATAATGATTCGATTATACAACATAAACATGGAATGTAGCTGCAGTTTGTTTTCATCATATTTGCAAGCATTCTTTTGTGTTATTTGGTGGTCCTGAAAAGGACCGTTGATGAAGAAGCGTGGGTTGGAAATTTACTTTCCAGCAGACTTCTGGGTTTTCTTGGGGAGAAGGACAGCCTGGATGTTGGGGAGGACACCACCCTGGGCGATGGTGACTCCGGACAGAAGTTTGTTCAACTCCTCGTCGTTCCTGATGGCCAGCTGCAGATGTCTGGGGATGATTCTGGTCTTCTTGTTGTCTCTGGCGGCGTTACCTGCCAACTCAAGAACCTCAGCGGCGAGGTATTCCAAAACGGCAGCCAGGTAGACTGGGGCTCCGGCACCCACGCGCTCGGCATAGTTGCCTTTACGGAGGAGACGATGGATACGTCCAACGGGGAACTGAAGTCCGGCCCGGGAGGATCGGGACTTGGATTTGCCCTTGACTTTTCCGCCTTTACCACGTCCTGACATATTGGTAGTTTTATCGAGATGCAACAACACACGAGTAACGGAAAACACAGTCACTCAGTCTATTTAAGCGGACCCATACAAAGCAACTGGCCGCCGACCGGATCATTATTGAACCTGTACACAACAGACAATTGGAGATGAGCGTTAGAATTGGTCGTTAGTGTGCCATGTTTGTTGTGAATAGGGAGAAACAGGATGATGTGGTCAGGCATGATGGCTTGTGTCTCTGTAGATATAGCGTAGACTGATGCTCATGATGAAATTCTCTTATTTACAACCCGTAGTGCTGTAGTTGGAATATCACTGAGTGCTGCGTTAAGGAAGGTAGGAACAAACAAACAAACAAACAAAAAAAACCAAAAAACGCCATCCCAAGAAATCCATGGAGGGGTGTTGAAATAAGGGAAGTAAATCTGTTTCTTCCCGGGTGTATATAATGAATAAAAAGATTGTGGTGCTACATAGGAATGCTTGCGCGTAAAGATGGAGAAGGACAGACTGGGGTTTCAGTTTACATCCTACACCCGTTCACGAAATCGAAAACGCACATCAGCCGCCATGCACAGTACACATACACCTAAAATAATCCCTTTTGAACAGTGTCAGTACACTGTTGGTGCACGGTTTTTCACATGCATGTACGGTGGCAGAAAATCTACGTTCTCTAATAAAACCTCCAAATTCGTCAATTCAAGCATACAAGCTCTGTGGGAAAATAAATTTCCCAGAACTACTTTATATCACCGACGAAGGCCGCAACAAATTCTCATTTGTGTATAGTGTTTTTTCATTCATGACAACTGCGGTTACATTTGTCAAACATGGCCACGCGGTGATGGATAGGGAGGAATTTATTATTATTACAGGATGTTTATATAGCGCACATATCCAGGCAACTAGTGCATGCTCAAGGCGCTGGTATTTTTCCCGCGATCATTGGATGTCAATCTCAAAGGCACATCGTATTATCAATATCAACTCCATGGGGAGGATACAACGTGTTTTTGTAGTGTAGTGTTTTTGTTTCAACGAAGAAACAAAACTTTCAGCTAAGGGTGGAGGGAACGTTCTGACCAAACACGTATATCTTTATGTATATCGAATTATCCAATAATAACTGTGTTAGTTTGTTTTGGCCTCAAACACTATGGAAAGTGAAGATGCAATGTTATAGCAAATGACGAGAAGCGTAGTGATATCATGTGTGATATTGTGAATGGAAGGGAAGGCGAGATACCGCACCCGACATGGCACGGGAGAGATGACGGACCTTGCCAAGATGGTGTTTTCACACACAGGTATATAAATGAGAAGCGTGATCACATGTAGATAAACAACAATTTAAATTAGACGAAATAACCATACGGATAGGAGGTTTCTTCTTCCATGTACTTGGCACAAGTTCACACTCACGAACAGACAAATGAAAGTATACCACCTTAACATGTCTGATTAAAGGGCCACAGCGATTAATGTTTCCAGCCAACAGTCTAATTACAAAATCCTCATGGGCGGATCCAGGAATTTTGAAAGGGGGTGGGGGTTTCAGACCCCCTGAACCCTGGACCCCTTCTGGATCCGCCAATGAGGGTGGATGCCTTTCAGATGCTGTTATTTCAAAATATCCCCTACAGTTCTTGTCTGATTGTAATAAAGTATCCCAGCAGTGTAGGTTTTTTCAGATTTTCAAATGTTTGGATGGTATAGTGACTGATCCCATTTGATCCTATTTCTGTGTTTTTTACCTCAATATTTCATGAAGTTAAAAATATGATGTCTATTACGTTTACTATGATATCAAAAACACACATTTGATATATACATCTGTGCATAAATTAAGCACCACCCTATATGTTTACCAATTAATTTTGTCTGAAATGAAATTCTAAACTCTTTCCAAAAAATAACCTTTATAATTTAATTGAGCAAGCATTTAACATTTCGAAAACAAAAACCTCATTGAAATTACCATGTATTTTAATTAGGATAATTGCCTATATTTGAAACAGGTGTTTTTCTGTCCTTAAACAAGTAACCTTATTTTGAAAAGTGAAAGTAATAATTGATTGTTGTGTGACCTATATATTCGTTATTTATTGTGAATGGGTGAAAGTTTGTAAACTAAGATTTAGGAAAAGTTACAGTCAAACTAAAAAAAGGAAAATTGTAAAATGCAGTAAAAGTTGCTTTACAAACAAAACAAACAGATTTTAGCTGTAATTATCATTATCTGGCAAGGGGACGTGTTTATTCATTACAATAAACTCAAAATCATAAAAAAAATTATTCCAAAATCTTATTAATGAGGCCTTTTTCAGTTTTTGTCAATTAGCAATCTGAATTGGTGGAAAAAAGTCTGAATCTTTGACATTCGGCTTGTTCCTGATTATGAATAATTAAAGCTTACTTGATGTGTAAATGTCATCTTGGTATATAACAGAATTGGTATTTTTAGTCAAAACTTAATTTAATTGTGTAGTTTGAGCAGGAGAGGAATAGTTAGTTTGAGTAAAAATTCAGTCCGATCACATTTTCATCAACATATTCTTTCATAAAGCATAGAATAGGTTATGGTATTTGTAACACTGTCAGTGGATAAAGCTTCTTTAACTACAGGTTGATTAAATTGATGGCAATACCCTAACCTTTCTGAAGCATCACATCTTATTTTCAAAATAGGGTGGTGCTTAATTAATGCACAGGTGTGAATCCATAAACTAAACAACCCCACTTTGCCATTGCTAAAACAAATCTGAAATTTTACTTACGTACTTAGGTCTATACAGTTTTTAACTTAGTACACAGATAATGCTTATATATATTTCTTATGTAACAATGAAGTTCGATCCGTTCGTATCCTCAGTGTCGTCCCATAAGTTGTTTTCTTCAGACATTCAAACTTGCATGCAATACAGCGATTACTACTCTCTTGCTGTAACCCTTGTTTGGTGGTAAACCTACACATGTTATTTGTCATCATTCACTTGATAGTCAGTTAATGAATTTATAACAGGTATAATTAGTGATAACACCACTCAGATTACCCGACAAAGGTTCCCATCAGGTTAATGAAAACTCAAAAACATAAAGCATCTATAATCCTGTTTTGATCAAAGTGAACATCGTACAAACAAGCATGCAAAGTGTCTGATCCTAGTAAGAATATTTCTGTGTTTCTTATTTGTTAACATAGTTAACTATTTTTCTGGCTCTAAAAGGCTTTTAAATTGACTGTACAGCTTATACTTTGAACTTTCTTTATTTGTACTATTCCAGGACTGTATATACAGGTCAACTGCAACTTGTTTAAACATTTGAAGAAACTGGGATTCATTACCAACACCTTGAAATAACCAAACATAACCAAATCCATATGAAAACAATTACGCACAGATGAAACATAGTTATCATAACCACAATTATCGTAATACATTGGCATATCATAAGCTTTTTGGAATTCTTTGTTGATGCATATTTACAAGTTTAAGTAAGTATTTTATGAAATTGTGCATTTATAGCCATTGGGTAATGTCCACATTCACCATAAACAATTATATTTGGTGTTTGGGGACCAACATAAAACCATTTCTCATTTCTCACTTAGGGTCCACCTCTTCTAAAAACAACAATTTGAGTTTTCTCTAGATTAACTGTCAATATTAGTATTCTGATCAAAGTATTTCTGTACAAATGTGAAAACCATCTCGTTAGTGTATGGGACAGGTTCATTATATCAGTGGGTAAGACTAGGTTGTAATCACGGTCACGCCTGATTGATTTGTCTGACAATTGGGACATCTAACTTTTTAAACCATGCAATTAGTTTGCCAGGTGTGCTATCTTGGGTGACCAATAGGATACACCAATGTGAAAAACCTGAAACGATAGATCACTTTTTCGTATATTAAACTGTTAAAAGACACATGACATGGAACAGGATTCTTTGTCAGCTGCAGATGAATGGCATCTCATTTCTTTATGTGGATATTGATGGATACATTCCCCGAACAAGGTAATAACCTGATATTGTTGCTAAAGCTTTAGTGTGTTTTGATTTTAATATTTGCATTTTGTCTTAATTTATTTGTTATGGCATTCAACAGAATCGGGTTTTTTTGGCCGTGAAGTGTAATGAGACAGACAACATACACTAGGTCATACTTAGGGCGTACGTGAAATATGATTCACGTTGGAAATCTATAAGATGTCTATATATTACAGTCATGTTATAAGTTCACTAAGTATAAGCAGACTGTGTGTATTTTATTAAATTTCAAAATGCATACAAATATGATAATAAACTCATTAGGATTATAAGACAAAATATAAAGAAATACATTGGCTTCGTTATTTCAGTCCTAACATTGTTTACCACTGGCAGACGGTTCAACTTAAAACAGAAAGAGAATACAGACACTTCCTATGGAGGTGAGACTGGAAGACGGTACTGTCGTCAGTGATCACGGTACTGTCGTCAGTGATTTTCATTCTGTGCTTAGCAAATGGGAAAGTGACGTTTTGAGGCTGTATTCCGGAACAGACGGCGACGACTACGACAACCGTTATCTAGGTGAGGTGAAGCATGAACTAGCGATAATGCTGCGCAGCACGAGGAGAGCGCTCTCAACACACTGATATAACGTGAAGAAGTGCGCAGAGCTGACACCGGGCGAAGAACGGTAAGGCAGAGGGTGTAGACAATATCAAAGCTAAAGCTCTTAAAAACGACGCCTGTATTGAGATACTGTATAACCTTTTCACCAAATGTTTTGATAGTGGCATCACTCCAAGTGCATGGAAACAGTCGATCATTAACCCTTTAGTGAAAAGTGACACCGATGTGCGTTCACCTCGAACCTATTGAGGGATTTCCCTATTATCTGTACCCTGCAAGATCTATTGTGATGTCCTCAATCAACGTGTCTCATATTGCCTGGACTCTAGTAACATGTTGTCAGATTCTCAAAACGGATTTCACAAACACCGAAGCTGCTTTGATAACGTATACAGTTTGTACACACTGCTGAAGACTAGGCTGCATTGTAAGCAATCAACTCATACTTGTTTTATCGACCTTAGAAAAGCTTATGGTTGAAGCTGCTATGTGCAGGGATCAACGGGAAGATGTTTTTTACCATACAGTCTCTCTACCATAAAACCTCTAGTGCAGTACGTGGCAATAACCTTATGACGCCATTCTTTCAAGTGTCAACGGGGGGTGAGGCAAGGCTGCACCCTGTCCCCCACTCTGTTCTCCCTCTACATCAATGACCTGGCGGAGGAGATTACCAATCTCAATGACGGTGTATCTGTAGACAAACTCTGTGTCTCCATATTACTGTATGCAGACGATATAGTTCTACTAGCCCCAAGTGAAGACAAACATCAGTGGATGTTGGACGTGGTGACACGGTGGTGTGCTAGATGGCGTCTGAGTATTGACACGGATAAGACAAAGGTTGTGCACTTCAGACGGGTTAACAGTGATAGATCTAATTATCAGTTTCGATGCTGCAACATGGCCTTATCATACAGTGACTGTTATAAGTACTTAGGACTGTGGTTTGAGGAAGACCTTGATAAAAAGTTCACAGTAAAGGAGATCGCAAAAAGTGCTCTGTCTCTACTCATCACCAAATATAGACAGTGTGGAGATATGGCATATGATGCGTTCACAAAACTATGAATCAACTGCAGCCTATCTTACTCTACTGTGCAACTATTTGGGGACTATATGGACATCGTGAAATAAGTAACATACAAAACAGAGCTGGTGGTTTCTTCCTGAGTGTACCTCGTAATGCGTCTAACTGTGCAGTTCAGGGTGAACTTGGTTGGAGGACTTGTCTCACTCAACAGCAGATAGAGAGTTTTCGTTGTTTTGTCAAGTTGTATCATATGTCAGAGGACAGACTTACCAATAAGGTGTTTAGGTGGTCCATGAATCGAAAAGGTTCTTTTTCTTTTAACCTTGTTAAATTGGGTAGACAGTGGCTGTTGTATGATACTTTGTTATCGCCGACTTCTGGTATTAATTGTAAAATATCAGTCATTAAACAACGTTTATGTAGATTAGATGAGGAAAAGTGGTTTTCAGAGCTTTTGGATGACGTAGGCAAGGCTATCGGTAATAAGTTACGCACTTACAGGTTGTTTAAAAAAGATTGTAGACCAGAACTGTATGTAAGATATATTATTTCTAGACATAGGCAAAGTAATCTAAGTAAATTACGCTGTGGTATCTTACCTCTTAATATTGAAATTGGATTTTATAGCAAACCCCCTACACCCATAAATCAAAGATTATGCCCCTTTTGTGATTCTGCAGAGTCTGAAGCCCATTTTCTTGTAAATTGTGCTTTTTACCATGATCTTAATATAGATGAATTTAGTTTTAGCCCAGATGATAGCAATCATTTGAAATTTATCATGGTAATGAATACTACTGAAATCAAGGTTCTTAAACTTGTAGCATATACTATTAACGATTTATGCTACAAGAAGAAGGCAGTTACATTCTTAATATATTTTACCTATGTACTATTTTATATATGTCATGAACACAATCGTCCAGATTGTATATTGTACATTTTTTTAGTTAATTTATGTTAGTAGTGTCTCGTAAGCCAGTGTTATGGCTGGGTCATATGTGTTATCTAGACATATGAAATATAGTTTTACCTGTAACATATCATGTGACACTTTCACAAAATATACTTCTGTCTGTCTGTCTTAAAATGTTTTCATTTGTTATCAAAATAATGCCATTTAATACAACATTCAGATTGACTAGTAGTGAACCCAAGCCCACTACTCTACCCAGGACCCCCCATGTACTTAGTTAGCCTTACTTTCAAACAATGCTATTATATCGGGTGAATTGTGCACTGCACCATGCAGGTCTTGTACCTCACTGCCAAAATTGAGACAACAGGTATGACCAATTAGGATCAATTAGGTCTCATCAATAAGTTGGTAACTAATTTGCTACTGGGACAATTTGGATCAATTAAGCACTATTTTGTTTTTGAAGAAACCAAATTATTCATCACAGTCTACTTAATTTTACAAAAAAATTCAAGATTATCAAGTGAAAAAGATTTAATCTTTATTGATCAGTCTATACTTATACTATCAATTGCGCATGAGGCTGGCGGAGCAGAGGTAACGAACCAGTCATGAATTCTGGGATATCATCCGGGTACTCACGGGAGAAAAACAATAACAAAAGCAACAGCCAGTCCACGGAAATTGCTGTGGATCAGTGGCCCTTTAACAGGTATTCGGGTAAGGGACCATTTGTAAATTATGGGTAAGAGTTCCGTACGTTGGGCCTACCCCCCCACACCTAATATTTTCAAAAACTACAAAGATATACAAGTAATGAAAAGTACCTTATAAAATATGTGTGTGCGTGCGTGCGTGCGTGCGTGCGTGCGTGCGTGTGTTACGTAAGGAAATCTTTCCAATTTATGGCTAGGGGCCCGGCTCATGATGATGATTTTTAAGGAGAAGCATGTACAAAGTGACACCCCCTGCATATGATGTACAAAATCAATTACCCCTCCTATCTCCCAAGAACAAATGGTAGCCCCCCTAAAATTCTCTCTCTCTCACTCACTCACTCACTCACTCACTCACGCACTCACGCACTCACTCACTCACTCACTCTCCTTATGTGGCTATATTTGTATAGTGTCATTTTAATTAAAATGCATCAGTCCGTGCACATTCGTCTCTTCTGAAGCAGAACTTTAAAACAGTTCACTGTTTCTTCACCAAACTACTCACATAGATAGGTCTGGTGGTGGTGTACTTGTGCCTTTTGGAAGTTTGGGAATTCTGAATAAAATATTTTTTTGTGTTGACATGACAACAAGTTTGGCTTTGACTGAATTTGGTGGTAGAGCTCCTCTCTGGAGCAGAACTTTAAGACCTTTCAATACTCTCCTTCCACTGTGCTATATACAATACAAAACATTGGACATAATCACAATTAGTTGACATATTTATGAAGAGTATGTTGCCATTGCGGGGCATATTGATGACTTTTGTCTTCTTGTTAAGATTCCTCGATTACTCTTTGTTGAAGCCTTGGTTCCTCACCCTGTCTGAGAGTGTGGGTTCAGTTACAAATGGGTGTAAAACCTAGAAGTACTAGAGTTTGTTAGATATTGACAAGGTCACATTTCTTTGCATATGTGATTATGTTCAAGATCAGACAATGGCGGATATATAGATTTGGCATAATCTTTAGATCACTATTTTGGTCTTGTGTTTCTATAGAAACAATGTGGAAATTCTTCAGTGTTTCTACTAAGCATCGAGCTACTTCTGGGCATGTGGGCTAGCACAATGTACTCTCTGTTGCACAGTCAGGCCAGCCGTAACCAGTCAACATGGCGTCAAATGTCATACAGTTGAGATATTCCTGAAACCAGAAGCTGTATGTACACTCAGCCTGATATTTTTGCAGGTGGTTCAGATTCTGTAGTTGGTCCATACATTTCTGTACAACTGTCATCAGTACACCGTACCTGTATGAAATATGGTCCATGTTTGTGGGGAAATTCCCTTCTTCGTGGAATATTAACAATGCTGCATGATGATGATGATGATGATGATGATGATGATGATGATTTGTAGATTTTACGTTTGCTTTCTGATATAATGTGTAGTGCACAATATATTATAGTTCAATACTCATTTGTGGCTATTGGAATGCTACTTGTCACAATTTGGTGTACCCGGTACGTAGTGCTCAACTGGTGCCTTTTGATGAGTTTCAACATATAGTTTTCGTTTGTTTCTTCACAAAAGTTGGACTTTACTGAAATGATGGTCCTTCTGGAGCATAACTCCGAAAACTGTTGAATGCTGCTCTCTCAACTTGCTAAAGAGAACAGTCCAGGTGTTCGGTGATGATTGGGGATTAGTTCTATGTTTTCAACATGACAAGTTGGACTTTCCCACATGTGCTCATTTCAAAGCAGGAACACCAAACTATTGGATAGTTCTGGATCAAACTTGCTGTACAGAAGTAGCAGCTTGGGATTAGCTATTGAAGCTTAAATTCTTGCATAAATAACTATTACCAAGATCCTTACTATTACTAATCTCCTGGGAGAGCCATACAAAACCAAATCCAAATTTGAATAAAATATCTTTTATGTCGGTAGCCCAGGCTTTCCTTCCAGTGATTTTAACATGAAATAGCACTGAACAGACAGCCTATGGGATTCAATTTGGATTAGTCTACACCAGTATTTAACAGCTCTTGACATAATTAAACTGTAATGGAAGTGTGCTACATTCACCTAGAATTAAACTGCTACTAACATTTCTACCAACCCTTAAGAAATGCCTGCAAATTTTACTTTGAAACCTTCAATAATGTTACAATAAGAAGTTCCCCATGCCTTCAATAATGTTACAATAACAAGTTCCCCAAACCTTCAATAATGTTACAATAATGTTACAATAACAAGTTCCCCAAACCTTCAATAATGTTACAATAATGTTACAATAACAAGTTCCCCAAACCTTCAATAATGTTACAATAATGTTACAATAACAAGTTCCCCAAACCTTCAATAATGTTACAATAAGAAGTTCCCCAAACCTTCAATAATGTTACAATAACAAGTTCCCCAAACCTTCAATAATGTTACAATAATGTTACAATAACAAGTTCCCCAAACCTTCAATAATCTTATAATAATCTTACAATAACAAGTTCCCCAAACCTTCAATAATGTTACAATAACAAGTTCCCCAAACCTTCAATAATGTTACAATAACAAGTTCCCCAAACCTTCAATAATGTTACAATAACAAGTTCCCCATGCCTTCAATAATGTTACAATAACAAGTTCCCCAAACCTTCAATAATGTTACAATAACAAGTTCCCCAAACCTTCAATAATGTTACAATAATGTTACAATAACAAGTTCCCCAAACCTTCAATAATGTTACAATAACAAGTTCCCCAAACCTTCAATAATGTTACAATAATGTTACAATAACAAGTTCCCCAAACCTTCAATAATGTTACAATAAGAAGTTCCCCAAACCTTCAATAATGTTACAATAACAAGTTCCCCAAACCTTCAATAATGTTACAATAATGTTACAATAACAAGTTCCCCAAACCTTCAATAATCTTACAATAATCTTACAATAACAAGTTCCCCAAACCTTCAATAATGTTACAATAACAAGTTCCCCAAACCTTCAATAATGTTACAATAATGTTACAATAACAAGTTCCCCAAACCTTCAATAATCTTACAATAATCTTACAATAACAAGTTCCCCAAACCTTCAATAATGTTACAATAACAAGTTCCCCAAACCTTCAATAATGTTACAATAACAAGTTCCCCATGCCTTCAATAATGTTACAATAATGTTACAATAACAAGTTCCCCAAACCTTCAATAATGTTACAATAACAAGTTCCCCAAACCTTCAATAATGTTACAATAACAAGTTCCCCAAACCTTCAATAATGTTACAATAATGTTACAATAACAAGTTCCCCAAACCTTCAATAATGTTACAATAACAAGTTCCCCAAACCTTCAATAATGTTACAATAATGTTACAATAACAAGTTCCCCAAACCTTCAATAATCTTACAATAATCTTACAATAACAAGTTCCCCAAACCTTCAATAATCTTACAATAACAAGTTCCCCAAACCTTCAATAATGTTACAATAACAAGTTCCCCAAACCTTCAATAATGTTACAATAAGAAGTTCCCCATGCCTTCAATAATGTTACAATAATGTTACAATAACAAGTTCCCCAAACCTTCAATAATGTTACAATAACAAGTTCCCCATGCCTTCAATAATGTTACAATAACAAGTTCCCCACGCCTTCAATAATGTTACAGTAAGAAGTTCCCAAAACCTTCAATAATGTTACAATAACAAGTTCCCAAAACCTTCAATAATGTTACAATAACAAGTTCCCCACACTTCAGAACCATAACACTTATAGGTAAAATTACTGCATCAAACAATTTAAAAAGATCATTCACTGTGATATGACCAAAGTTTTTTTGGAAGGAATAGATAGACATGAGTGCTATATTTGCTTTGGATAAGATACATTTTTGTCTTTAGTGCAAACTAACCTTGGGGTGAAAACAATTCCAAGATATCTATAAAATGTAGCAACTTCAATTTGTTTACCTTAAAAAAAACAATGTTCATAATGTTTTACAGGGCCAGAATTGTGGAAAACAATGATCTTAGTTTTAGCTGAATTAATTGTCATACCTGTATGTTTACAAAACAACTCTAGGGCATTGAACCTGTTCTGTAATTGACGTGCAGTGTCAGCACTTCCAGACATCATCTGCAGATATTAGTGCATAAACATTATCCTCATCAATATTGATATTTACGCCATTTCCACCAAATCTTTCCAAAACTGAGAACAGTTTAACACGTTATATTTGGGATTACACTTATTTATTAAAGTACAAATTTTAGTACTTTTAGGGGTTGAGTCCCATCCGGGATTCGAACCCATACCCTCAGAGTCAGGCACCTAATCGCCAGCACACAAAGTAAGCCGCCTAACCCATTCAGCCACCGCAACTTCCACTTCAAATGCTTTTGAAAAATCACACAACAAAATCTACCCTGTTTCCTATGTGAATATATTTCTACAACAGCGTTCAATGAAACTATGTGATCAACAGTGCTGTGTTTTGTGCTGAAGCCAACTTGATCTTTACTACTAATATCAGTATCAGCACACCATTTCTTCAGTCTGCAGGTTAGAATACAGGTAAACTGTTTACAAAGAGAGCCAATATCAGTTACTGGGGTTTTGAGTGGCACCAGCCTTGAACATGGGACCAATTGCACCCCATATCTCGGGAAGTTACATGTACAGAGGATTTCATTGAAAAGCAATGTAAAAGGTTTCAGAGTATATTGTGTAGATGACTTCATAAATTCAGCTGCTATACCATCAGGTGCAGGAGATTTGTTGTTTTTCAGTTTATCAAGGTTAAAGTTCACTTCTTGTTCAGTTATGATATGATTTAAAGCATCTACACACACAGTGTTATGTACAGAGTGTTAAAGTATCTACACACAAAGTGTTATGTACAGAGTGTTAAAGTATCTACACACACAGTGTTATGTACAGAGTGTTAAAGTATCTACACACACAGTGTTATGTACAGAGTGTTAAAGTATCTACCCACAGTGATATGTACAGAGTGTTAAAGTATCTACACACACAGTGTTATGTACAGAGTGTTAAAGTATCTACACACACAGTGTTATGTACAGAGTGTTAAAGTATCTACGCACTCAGTGTTATGTACAGTGTTAAAGCATCTACACACACAGTGATATGTACAGTGTTAAAGCATCTACACACACAGTGTTATGTACAGTGTTAAAGCATCTACACACACAGTGTTATGTACAGTGTTAAAGTATCTACACACAGTGTTATGTACAGAGTGTTAAAGCATCTACACACACAGTGTTATGTACAGTGTTAAAGTATCTACACACAGTGTTATGTACAGAGTGTTAAAGTATCTACACACAGTGTTATGTACAGAGTGTTAAAGTATCTACACACAGTGTTATGTACAGAGTGTTAAAGTATCTACCCACAGTGATATGTACAGAGTGTTAAAGTATCTACACACACAGTGTTATGTACAGAGTGTTAAAGTATCTACACACACAGTGTTATGTACAGAGTGTTAAAGTATCTACACACACAGTGATATGTACAGAGTGTTAAAGTATCTACACACACAGTGTTATGTACAGAGTGTTAAAGCATCTACACACACAGTGATATGTACAGTGTTAAAGTATCTACACACACAGTGATATATACAGTGTTAAAGTATCTACACACACAGTGTTATGTGCAGAGTGTTAAAGCATCTACACACAGTGATATGTACAGTGTTAAAGCATCTACACACACAGTGATATGTACAGAGTGTTAAAGTATCTACACACACAGTGTTATGTACAGAGTGTTAAAGCATCTACACACAGTGATATGTACAGTGTTAAAGTATCTACACACACAGTGATATGTACAGAGTGTTAAAGCATCTACACACACAGAGATATGTACAGAGTGTGGTATATCATAAGTAAATTGCTGACACTGATGATCTGTTGTCAGTAGAGATGAGAAATGGTTGACCAAGTCACTGGAGGCAGTGTCATCAGATATCCTTCCTGTAGTTTTAACAGATTTAAGTAATCTCCAGAATATCTTAGGACTTTTTCCAACTTCCACAAGTTTGGGCTCAAAGTGCTGCATATTTTTTATGTTTTAATTCCTCTAATTCTTTATCCCACCAGGGAGGTTGCTTTTTGATTGTCCTTAGAGTAGATGTATAAAGTGTCTTTGTGAAGTCAGCAGGATTATGGAAAATGTACATAATGTTAAATATTGCAGAGTCAATATTTTCTTTTATTTGATTCAGCAATTGCTCATTGTTAGTTTCCATCAAAGAATGAAAGTGATCCATGAAAGTGTCCCAAGATTCTTGTTTCCATGTTTGATACAGTCACAGTAAGGTTGGCCAGGGTAGGAGTTAGGTTGGTTTATTGGAGCAGCTGTGTGACCATCACTTGTTGGAGATAAGTCATGTTAAGAGAACATGAGATAGGGAAATGGTTTGAATAATCATGTTCGCGGACTGTAAAGTCACTAAGAAAATAAAAATAAATCTGATGATGCAGTCATATACCAGTAAACAACCACTCTGCATCCATTGTTTGTGATACAATGTGTGAAGCCCATATTGCAAAAGCGGCGTAAAAACTCTCTCTCTCTCTCTCTCTCTCTCTCTCTCTCTCTCTCTCTCTCACTCACTCACTCACTCACTCACTCACTCACTCACTCACTCACTCACTCACTCACTCACTCACTCACTCACTCACTCACTCACTCACTCACTCACTCACTCACTCACTCACTCACTGTGTGTTCCCCAGGTGAGTTCCCCATGTTTGTCAGTAACAAATATGCCATTCAACATGTGTATGCTGAAACCTCTGCACAATTCAGAAAGGTTGCCATAATTATTTACACCAGTGTCTTTATGTAATGTTGGGAATTCAAAGTTGTCACCAAAGTAATCATTACTTCCATGTTGTATGAATCATCATAAGGGATATAGTCTAACATCATAAGGGATATAGTCTAACAAATCTTTAGTAATCTTGTGTCCAGCAAGGAGGATAAATGTCTCAGGGTGATGACATTAAATCAAATGGAGGTAGTTTTCAAGTTGGTCAATTCTATGAATCACTGTTTTTATAAATTGTGAACGTCCTGGTGAAATGTAGGTAAAAATAAGAATGGAATCTTTTCCCAAGTTTCATTTAGTGCTCTTTAGCAACAGTAACATAAAGTTGTCAAAATGATGTTCATTCTAGACACATAACCTTTGGTTATCCACACATCTCTAATCAATACAGTAACTCCTCCACTGTGTCTAACAAAACGTTTACTTTGCAATTACAATTTTCAGTACTGAATCCATCTAAATAGACACAAAATTTTGATTTTGTTTCAACAAAAGATTCAACAAGAGCAGCAATATCATTCTGTTTTCAAAAGTCATTCAAAATACTGTCAGCAGAGGTGTATTTATTTAATCCTTCCATGTTCCATGTGATTATATAAACAAAAACATGGCCTGCTCATGATATTTGTTTACTGTTGTTAGCCTTTGTCAGGGTGGCCTCCCCTTGTGAATCTGTAGTTCCGGTGTAGCAGGCCATTTCTTCCCCACCCTTGTTCTCATATCAAAAGGGGGAGATTCTGGCCTAGCCAGGCTACTTCTTCCCCACCCTTGTTCTCATATCAAAAGGGGGAGATTCTGGCCTAGCCAGGCTACTTCTTCCCCACCCTTGTTCTCATATCAAAAGGGGGAGATTCTGGCCTAGCCAGGCTACTTCTTCCCCACCCTTGTTCTCACATCAAAAGGGGGAGTTATGCTGCCCTAGCCAGGCCACTTCTTCCCCACCCTTGTTCTCATATTAAAAGGGGGAGATTCTGGCCTAGCTAGGCTACTTCTTCCCCACCCTTGTTCTCATATCAAAAGGGGAGATTCTGGCCTAGCCAGGCTACTTCTTCCCCATCCTTGTTCTCATATCAAAAGGGGGAGATTCTGGCCTAGCTAGGCTACTTCTTCCCCACCCTTGTTCTCATGTCAAAAGGGGGAGATTCTGGCCTAGCTAGGCTACTTCTTCCCCACCCTTGTTCTCATATCAAAAGGGGGAGATTCTGGCCTAGCCAGGCTACTTCTTCCCCACCCTTGTTCTCATATCAAAAGGGGGAGATTCTGGCCTCACTCGGCCACTTCTTCCCCACCCTTGTTCTCATATCAAAAGGGGGAGATTCTGGCCTAGCTAGGCTACTTATTCCCCACCCTTGTTCTTATATCAGAAGGGGGAGATTCTGGCCTAGCTAGGCCACTTCTTCCCCACCCTTGCTCTTACATAAAAAGGGGAGATTCTGGCCTAGCGAGGCTACTTCTCCCCACCCTTGCTCTTATGAACCGACAGTAGATTTGACTTATATTTTGGTACACATTTTTGCTAAATAGTCCATTTTTGCCTCTGACTTGGGTGTAGTGATTTGAATGCATACATGTTTGAATGGCATATATCTCTAAATCCATCCGGCTCTTGCCGCCATTCCTATGAAGACACATTGCATTAGTTCTTCATCTGTCCACCATA